TCCGTCGCATGCATTAATCGACTACTTCCTCCTTTCGGAAATGGGAACTTTTCAGTTCTGGAAGATTGAATTGCAAACGATTGCGCATCAATCGATTTTCGATTGTCTTTTCAAATCGAAAATTAGAAATGTAGAGTAGCGCTTTTTTTTGGAAAGTATATTAATATGAATCACCTGATGTAGAAATAGTTATCATCATTTATTCGTGAACTGTTTTTTCCTTTCCGCTTCAAATCCCAGAAACACATTAGTTGTTTTGAGAATATTGATATATGAGATCTAATTAAATTCCGCTGGAAAGAAGGGACGGGCAACCCTGCGCTTATCATTTATTAACGTCCGCCTGGCGTCACGCGCGAATGCGCCGGTGCGCGATTAGCGCACGTCCCTCTTTTTTTCTCGCTTCGAAGCGAAAGAAAACCGTATCCGCCGTGCGCGCCGAGATATAATCATCGGCGAAATCCGGTCTGTTATCGTTATCGCGACTGGAATTCCTCTTAGAGAGCGCGGAAGCGTTAATTGCCGTATTATATATTTGAAAAATGCACGGCCGACGCCTACCGCGGGGCCGTTCCGGTCGCTGCGCCGTACAACAGTTTTCTGCGGCCGATTCGCAGCCGGCTTGTAAAGTGAATGCGCGACCCCGTAATCGGCGCCGCGGCACAAAAATCCGCGCCGGCAATATTCGCGAACTGGGCGAAGCGCATCGCCGCCGTTCGTTTTGCGCTCGCTCATGCGTGTGATCTCCCGTAATTTCTGTCGTTTCTTTCGCCGCTATTACCCACGGTAGTCCCCACTGTATTCGCGATGCAAGATAAGAGACGGATCGGTGAAAGTAATTAAACAGTCCGCTCGGGAGCGCAGAATGCATCGTCCGTGGCGGAGATTTTTATTGGCCGTTTGTTCGGAGATCACCGCGAGTGATACGTTCGCGTTCAATCGAGCGAGTGAATTATTGTAAACGTTCCATCTAATCGTTCAACCGTCGGATTCCAGCACGGGATTTTATCCTGGGAATTCTATTGCAGAGTACATTTGATCGATGATTTTGATAGAAATATTTTATTACGACGGCATTTTGACTTAATTTTTGCAATATAAAATATTAATGTAATTAACAATATACTCGACATTGTATACATATTTTGATAATGTATACAATTGGTGGAAAACTATCATCTTTTTGGAGAAATGCAAAGCGAGTAGTACTACATTATTACACTATCGATATTGATGCAAGCGGGAAGCAGCTGGTCGAACGGAAGCGAAGGCAATGAGCTGATTGTGTAACATTACTTCCCTATAGTGTCGTTAACCCTGGAAGACAGTGATCACGGCATCACGGCGTATACAACCGGGAAATACCTTGTTACACTTATTCTGAATTATTTATTTTCGAAAGAGTCTGCATTTCTTAATGATTTATTTTGCGTCAAAGAGCCGCTGACTCGCCGAAACTCTAAAGTTAGTCGCATAAAAACATTCTCTTTGTCACAGTTTTCACATTTGACCACGAAAAATCTTATAAAAAATATAAATCGATATTTCAATTAAAAATGCACATTTAAATTTTGAAAAAAAAAATTTATCACGCCTGTATCACATTGTGATTTCATAATGTCTGAAATAACACTTGAATTTCGTCTCGACAAACAACTTGAGCTGGAAATGTCCCCTCGTAAATGGTACTTAAATGCCGATTTGCGAGTTGTATTTTAAACGGCCGTGTGAGTAATCGGAGACTTCCTTGCATTTTTCTTTCAGGCCGTGAAACTGGAGTCGGTGCATCCAGGAAGGACGCGATATCTCGTCGTCGTCTCGTGCACGGGCAGGCAGGACGCCGAGGAGAGCTGCCTCCTTGGTATCGATTGCCACGCCAGGGCGACCGTCGGTCTCGTGCTCCGAGTTTTGGCCGACACCGCTATCACTCTCGACGGCGATGGGTAAGTCCGACACAATTGCTTTTCTCTTTCGTCTCATTCTCTTTTATTATTATTGCCCGCCGCGGTTCTTGCCACGAAAAGCATTACGGCCTTCCTGTAATAATCCTGCGGCGCTACGAATTAGCACGTCTCAATGATTACAGACTCGCACAAATACCATTATTTCCGTCTGATTTATGCTTCGTTGCAAAACGTTATTCACCGACTGCGAACGTTCTCGATATTAAGTAATCAGTTTTACGTTTTTAAAGAATAGCCTAGTTTTCAGTTTTTAAAGGATAGCAATTTCTATTTTTTTTAATTTTTATTCGCTTTGTGTGATTAAACTGAAAAATTTATTTTTTGAATTTTACATGATTATTTAGATTTTATTATGCTTCGAAGCTTGCTTATATCATTGACTCTAAATATAAAACGGTAAAAAGATATCGTATTTAGATAACGTTGACTTTCCGCGAACAATAACTGCGAACGTCGTCATCGCTTACGTCACGAGTAAAGTGAATATGTATCTGCAGGCGCAATAAAACGTAATGTATACCGTATGGTGACCCTGGTGTCAGATGTCTTCTCTTACCTTGCGGATAGTCAAACAACAGTTAGATTAATTGTCAGTTTTATCGTAGATCGTGTACATCTTAATACGGTTTCTGTTACCATCTGAAGAATGCGTATAATTAATGACAGGAAATTCTCTTTAGTTTCCATTTCCTCGATTTCCGAAAAAGTATCGATAGATATTCAGACATGATTGCTTTCTCTATTTTCAACTTCCAAATTCTCTTTTGAACATAAACGTAGAATAGAAATCTGCTACATTTTAATATGTATGATGACTCATACTTACCTCACAACAATTTTTTAATAATGAATTCAGTGTTTTTGACACAAATACGATGAAGAATTAGCACAAGTTTTCAATGTCGAATAATTTCAATTTGAAATTCAAAGAAATCTTTTCATGGAATTAATAAAAGACGATTTTAGTTCGATTTTCATTCTCCTGTTTATTTTGTTACGTCTGTTTTATGTTACGCGCATCCTTAATATTTTATCTTTTATAAAATTGTTGTAAGGCAACTTTTATAAAACTAAATCTATATATTTCTTAAGGTTAAATTAATCAAAAAACTTGTGACGCTGAATAGAAACGCGATACTCTTTTGAGATACGTCGCGTATCTCCGATTAAATAAATTTCGCGCGAAATCTCCGATGATTCAGACGTAATGTTGACGTTGCGCTGCTTTATATCCGGCAACCTGACCGATCAATAAATATTTTTAAAGCCCACTGGCACGCGGCTACTTTCTAACGGCTGTGTGCCAACTTGTTTAATTCCTTCCACTTTAAAGTGACTCATTGCCACGGTTCGCCACACGGTTCGGACTGAATCGGTTGCGCCGATAATTAGTCGAACGTCGAGCGGCGGCGGTGGCGACGTGCGTACGCGCCATGAAATGAAAGGAGAATATCAGAGTAGGCGTTTACGCGTAAACAGCAATGGTCTAAGTATAGACTCCGTGTACTGGCTTTTTGCTCGTAACCGATGTAGACAATGCAGTCCGCGTAGACAATGCTTATGTCGATGTGCTTTCTCCTCCTTTCTCCTCCCGTTTTCGAAGTGTAGCTTTTATTCAAAGCAGCTAAATTTCTAGTTACGCTAGAGTATCCGTGTTGCCGTGGAAAGGATCTTTTCACACCAATGATTGAATAGATTTTAATATCAGACGTAGCTCAATAAAAATCAATATTTTCTTTATTCACGATACCCGATTATACGAATCGAACTCAATGTCTATCTCGCGCATGCAACAGTATTGGAATATAAAAATAATTTATGCATTATCGTGTCTAGAATACACAGAGATATAATCCGCGGAATTGCAAGATACATTTTAAGAGCTATTATTATCTCGAAATCGAGAACGGCGGGTGCGATTCTCAAGTAAAAGAGCGATTGTCCGTATATTTTCTGCATACTTATTTTGCGAAATCGCATAATCAATTGCTCGTTCTCATTTCGATACATACGTCGTACATAACATATAGGCAATGCCTCCACCATAAAGTTAAATGCGAAGGTCGCCACCGTTCTCTCGGGCATAGGGAAATGGAGCGCGTTACCGTAAGGCACGCGTGTTGGGGCAAGGTACTTGACAGGTGAGCACCAAGGTTATGACGGAAGGTCGCGACATGTCTTGCGAAATCGTGACGCGGAGTCAAATCAGACGGTTTGGCACGATTGAACCGCACAATGCGATTCACACCCTTCCCGGATCGTTTATTGAAGATTGGTGACATTTGAGGATACAATTTCGTAAAAATTGGCGGCGTACTCTAAAATTGACTCTGCATTAATCGAGGAAAATATTATAATTCTGACAGCGTATCCTGCATACTGTTATCTTCTGCGGAGAATAAATCAATTTTCACACGAAAAATGGAGATTTAATAATTAATAAAGATTATAAATGTTATTTTCTCCGAATAATTTTCTTTTTGAGATTAAATTAAAGTCGCGAAAAGTGCTAATGTGCGAGAACAATTTTTATCATTGTTTCTTCTGATAGATATAACGCATCAGTCGATAGCTTCTTCGATTATGCAGCTGAAATTACAGTTTCGCGTTCTGAAATGGCAGCCGAGACGCGCAAATCTAACGCCGATGGCGCGTCGCAGTTAAAGAGGCCGTGGAATTTTCATATCAACGACGGCGTGCACCAACAAAACGATCTCGCTCGCGTCTGGACGGCTCCCGGCTCGTAGTTTTTCGCGCGATTAACGGAGACCGGAGCTCTGTCGCGCTTTTCCCCGTAGACAAAAAGTCCACCCACGCGAGAGCACATTGACTGGGCGACGCGCGCGGTCGAGCGAGCAATTCTCGCGAAATTAGCGATAAAGGGACGAACGGACGGATGGACGGACGGATGGACCGGCCGATGCGTGGCGAAGGGAAAAGAAGGAAGAAAAGGACCGGGGCGGAGGAAAAGAAAATGAGCGCGAACGCGCGCCGGTCAGCTTGCGTTCCTATGATGTCGATGACCCCCGGGGCGCGGAGATGGCCGTCTCTCTTTTTCATCTGCCTCTTCCTCCGTCTCTTTCCTCCTCTCCTCCTCTCTTAGCGCGGCTGTCGCGCAGACCCGCGAAGAGTTCTTCCCCGCGCGTTTAGACTCGCGTACGTCATTCGCTTTCTCGATCGGACGATTTGAAGCATTACAGCAGCCGGTTGCCGCAACGGCCGCGCTTACTTAACCTCGAGTCAGCTACTTACTGTTTCTTTCTAGATTGCAGTCTTCAACGTCGTCGGACAAAGAAAATTTAGCTAACGCGCAAAACGCCGTAACGGTCACGGTTCACCGTCCCGGCCGCGAGATTAACGTGTTTCATCGATACGCGCGCGGTACGCGGCCGACTGCGCGCGGAAAGATCACACACGTCGACCGCGGAGGTCAAATTGAACGAATCTTGCGAAAGGTCGTATTTACTATTCATAACGTACAATTCAGTGCATTTTTGCGAACTTAATCGAATCCACGTGGCGTTGCGATATAAAGCTAATCCAGCTCGGCCTTGTACGCCACTCAAGCAGATTAAGCTCTGTCATATTGCATTCTGCTCTTGTTTTCTAAATTCAATCGCTCAATCACGAAAAATATAAGAATCGTTTTATTTATCAATTATATATAATTGCCAACACATAGGCAAATTTACATTCTTCAGTAATTAAAATCTGGATAATTATCTCGAAATTTCTGGAGTTTTATCCTTAATTTGAGGTCTTGTTACAGCGCATAAAATTTAAGTAGATCTTCTGTAGGATTTGAGTAATTGTTAGAGTAGATTTTAGCAATAACTTGAAATTGGAAAATTGTAGCGTTATTATTTTAAGACGTACGAGACAGAGATACGAGAGCCGCAAGTCGGAGTTCGCCAGGCTCGAGGGACTTCGATGCAGTTCAGTTGTTCGTCCGATGTATCTCGAAGGAGCGCTGGGCTAGTCATAAAATTCGCTCGCGGAATGTGCGTAGAGGGTAACTGTAATCGGCGAGAGAGGCAAATTGCGATCCGAATGCGGAGGAACGCCCGGAGGGGGGCGTCCGCTTTACGATCCGGATGATAACGGTGCGAGTCGGATAATTTCGGGGGGGAATTGCATTTTTTTCTTATCTCTTTTATGCCTCCTTGAGAGAGTAGGAGATCGTTGTTATATGCAACACGCCCAAATTCCGAACCACTTGAAGCGCTTTTGCGTAACGGTCCGCGACTCAACGAGCGTTTCAACGCTCGCGGCGGTGTTCGACGATTTTTTTCTTCATTTGATCGCTTATGTAACTGCAATTTATCGCGAATTACTCGGTTGCGTAAAGCGCGAATTTCGATATCGAGCCTTGCTGCGCGTCTCAAACTATTCTCGCTATACAGCCGTGTAGCGTGTTGAAAAGTCGATCGATATTTACTTAAATTATAAGAAAATACTGAATTTTTGAACTTGGAGGGGTTTTATATTATGTGTATGGATATGTATTAACGTAACAAATTTTATTGTAAAATAATTGGCTGCTTCCTGCTGAACTGTGTTAATTAAAATCTAATTTTGCCTCTAGAATACTTGTGGATGGAAGAAAGTGTGCATTATACCTTGAACGCTCCGCATAGCATAATTGTGCTTGTATGCTACGATGACTGATGCGAGTACCGCTTTTTTTCTGGAAGAGACGATCGCGGAATTGGCCACGCATTCCCGGAAATCTGCGTGTATTACGACAGCGAATCGCGATGCTCGCGTGGCGCGCGATCTTCTTTACATAATGCGTAATTAATGGCCATGTACGCTGAATGCGTGCCCCCCTTCTTGTGTCGTAACTGCGAAAATTGCGTTACCGTTGCAGTTTTGTGGCTCCGGCGCTTCGTTCGCCAGCATAACGGCGATTGTCCAGACCGGCGAAATCATAACTTTGATCGTCCGCAAATCGATATCTTACTGTCATATCGATAAAATGCATTTTGAGATAATTGCAGTTAATATGGAAACAACTTCAGAAATTAGTTTTATATATTAATAATATTTTTTTGATTAACAAATTGTCATAAAAATAATTAATTATCCCTCGAACGGTGAAGATCTAGGATTTTACACGGACGGAAGTGGGATGTTCCAGTCACCCCACAGGTTTTTTTTTTTTCAAAGAAAAACCAGAAATATGAGTTAAACACATTTTTTATTAATCTGTAACTATGCGCTTTTTATTAATCTGTAAAGGAATCTTGGAATAAAATAGTACGTCGCATATGAATAACATTATTCGATACATCGTGATTTTTAAAGATCTTTGCGGTCTCACTTCCGGTTTTCTTATTTTGCAGGGGTTTCAAGGTCAGCGTTTGCGGCCGTCAACACATTTTCAAGCCAGTGTCCGTTCAGGCCATGTGGTAAGTCTGCATCTCTGATAAACGAAACTGGTTTCGCAGCGGCGTAAGAATGGAGCAAAAAAATAGCGGCACTTGAAACGTTTTTTATGTTTTGCGTAACGGCTGTTTAATGCGTGCCAGTGTATTGCTCTTAATATTAAGTTGGCGTTTGTGTGAAGTCGCTGACGTAAGGAATAACGTTAATTCGAACACGGTCATACACTAGAATTTCTATTCTATTTTTCGCTTGTCAGCTGAGAAAATAATTTTTTCGTCACAAAAAACGGTCGCGTTGTTAAATTTTTCCGGATTAAATATTTTTATTGGATCGACGGGTATCTTAAGTACGATCAATACCCGGTCGATTGTTTGTGGAATATTAAAAAGACATACGCTAAAACTCGCCACGTTAATACTTTCGTATGAGAAACTTAAGCAGCGCTAAACAGCGAATCGCGATGCACAATTGATTTTCTTGCGGTATTCGACATCTTGTCAGTTACGCTAGGCAAGCTATGCGATTGGAAAAGGAGGGTCATTGTCATAGACGTAACAACCGTGGCTAATAGATAATGCTGGTGTAATTACACAACGGATGACCCGAGACGACTGTCGCGTTCGCGGAAGATGCGTCGAGCGAATGCGAGGCCACTTCGGACATCGAGCTCGCAAGCGGCTTCTTCACAAAATTATTCGCGAGCGATGCTTATGTCGTCATTCAAAAGTCGGAGCGGAGTGGAAGAATCAACTTTATTTTATTCAATTTCACGAGACGCTTTTCCGCTGATCGATCAAAGCGACACCACAAAGCGAGATCGAGGACAATTGATTCGTGTGGGAAGGAGAGACGGCGCGGTGTTTTCGCTTGCACTGAAAAAAAATCCAGCACACCGGAAGAGGCTGGGCGGTCAAGAAAGTTCCCGCTGTCCGTCCGACCGCGCATAGGGCAATTGTGATGTCGACCAATTAAGCGACGGCCCACGCCTGACTTTTCTTTTCTCTTTGCTCGAGCCTCTTCCGCATCGATAACATCTTCGTCATCCCACCCCCGAATCATTAGCCGTAAACTTGCCGCAAACTGCCGTTGTACTCGACATATATATTGCACCGTGGGAAGCTTCGCATGGAGTAGAGGCGGAGTTCATGTAGTCCGTGACGTTTCGTGACCGGTTGATTTAAATTTTACGGCATCCGAATTTCATTTTGACACGTTCTCTCCTCGCTATCGCACAAGTCACACTTGTCGAGTCACGAGATTAAAAAAAAATACGTCAAACAAGATCCAGGAAGATTAATCGCGGCTTATGCCTTACTGGCAACTATTTATTTTTCTGCAGTATTCTTATTCAATTTTTTTTTCTGGGAATACAAACAAAGTATCTCAAAAAAAGGCTGATGATCTCTTAATGATAGGTTTTTTCATCTTGCGTGTACAACTAAAGGAAAACATATTGAAGATTAATGGGCGTGTGATTGTAGTGGAATATATTTTTTCACACGCGGATTGTCGCAGGTGATAATTATTTACATTGTCAATTTATTGAATCAAATAGATTATTATTTTTAATCGTGTTCAACATCATTCGCGAAAAGCAGCTTGGGCATTACAACATCATATTTCTCTTAATGAATCGGAACTTGAGAAGTGATGAGAGAAATTATGCGTGATCTTTTTTACTTTTCATAATAGCTGCTTATTTTATGTGCACATCTGAATTGAATACACTAGCTAATGGTTATCAAAGTGGGCGTCATTTCCTTATTCGTCTTAAATCGCATGACCTACGACTTCGGATTTGTTATTTCTGGCACTGCCGTGTGCTTGGACTGTGTCTGGGTTATAAATAGTCTCCTCCGATCGCTACGTGCATTAGCGTTAGCTCGCGTCAATTTTTTTGTAAAAGCGCGATCAGCTCGACGTGCGTAGGCGCAAACACCTTTGATGTCGACCGCAGTGTGAATTTTCGTGGGCGTATTAATCCATTATAGTTCGCAAATTGATTTACGCGTGCGTACTCGACGCATTGAGCTACGATGTACGCGCGGCAGAAGTAATAGTGATAAATAAGAATAAATCCTTGAACAGAAAGTATAGGAAAAAAAAAAATCGAAATATAGTAGAATATATTTTATCCTGAAAATTGTGGATAGAGAAAAATTAATTCTATTAGAAAATACGGGATTTTTCAACTTTATTCTCTTTGCTACTTTTATTTTTTAAATAAAGCAAAATATACTCTTTTGGAAGTAAAATTATGCATGTTTTTAGAGGTAACAATTACAAATTAGCAAATCCAACTTTACTAAAATAGCATTAACAATGCTATGTTAAATTTTAAATAATTTCGAATAACAAAATGTGACAAGTGTGGACTTTGAAATGCAAGAACTTTCAGCCCTCAGATCAACCCTCGCGATGAGAATTTGTCACTGTACAATCATTACGCTGCTAAGATTGATTATTACACGAGATGCGATGTGTTGAAACGCGTCTTACATCGCAACTCACGCGACGAATCGACCGACGCTCGGGAGTACCGTCGGTTTCTTACCGTCGACGTCGACGTCCCGACGTCGTCGTCGTCGTCCTATTTTTGGAGAAGCCTCGCTGGTCTCGACCATTACACACCGTGGTGGGGTTGGTTACGACCATGGACCACCGTCCGCGCCATTTATGGGCGCGTCGCGACGCATGGTCACTTTGTCGAATTTTACCACGTGGTCGCGCGCCACCGGGCAAACCCCTCTCGGGGATCACGCCGTTTCCGCATGCGTGCGTGCGTGCCTTTTTAAACGAGACCACATTTTCGCGCTTGACTCGACACTTTGTTACGTAAAGGCACGCGTTTTTCAAAAAAAAAAACGACAAACATTATTGATTTTCGATTAAACATGATATCAAACGTTGCTCGTTTTCTCGAATATTAATAATTCGAGTTTGGAAAATTATACTGTTTGTTCATTTAAACCGCGGAAAAACTGGTAACAACATTATCGCCGTATTGCGAAATTAATGATAATTTTATACCAAAAAGATAATTATCCGTCGAGATTTTTTCACCTAATGGCTTATTCCTATTAATGTTAATTTATTTTTTTATAATATTTTGAAACACACATCAGTCAAATTTTTTTATTTCCCACAAAGGTATGTCATCCGAATCTTATCTCCCGCTCCTCCATGTGGGTGGCCTGTGTAGATGTGACCCACATATGTAATTGCTTCGCTCCGACATCAAAGCTTTTCCGTTCAAGAGAGATGGAACGTCCTCTCCGACCCTAAAACTCACCGCTAAATGTCAAGAGTGAAATACAGATGTATTATGCTTGGTTTAACGGTCTCGATAGCTTTTTTTCACGAGTCAAATGCTCACACGGTGCAAAGGAATTCTTTATGGAACGTTCGTCCCGGCATTATTTTTCGGTCCATTGTTCGTGTGCTCACGTGCGAAGAGTTCACCTTTGTGAACACTCTTTGGTGGCAGAATGACTAGACGCGAATCGGTATCTCTCGGTCAGATTTATCAATCTGAATTCCTTGGTGTTCTCGGTGATCTCTTTTTGCGCGATACCTTGACACAGAATTTCTGAACTGTCGGCCGCCGTGGCGAACTATAAACGCCTCGCTAAGTGTACCAACTGGTATCTGATACCTGGTGTCTGGTTGTTGACTAGTATGTATTCGACGGTTTTTATCGGCAGCGATTAACGATCTGTGAAACTAATTAATGCACCGTTATGAAGGATATAAAATTTTCCGAACGATTGTTGCAATTGCGATCTTGAGAATTCGAATACTTACAAAGAGAGAAAGATTGAGAAGAGATATCTGTGTGAAAAAATGTTTTCAATACTGATAAATAATTTTATGGCATAAAAAACATATGTTCGAATTTGTTAAATTTTAAGATATAACATTAACAGCAAAGAAATGAATTTTAGCTTGTTGGAAACAAATATTCAAATTTATAAAAACATTATAAAATAAATTCTTTTCTCGAAAAATTCAAAATTTATATATTACACATATGTATTATATGGTTTAGAATTGTTGAACTAAATAGACTATGTAAGCATATAAAAATACACGCATAAATATCTCTTGAGGTGATTTTCGCTTGATAAATTATGCGAATTTTACTCTAGATACTCGCTTCAGCCCGCGAGACGACAGTCTGGTTTTTGTTCTGGTCGGCGCAAAACATGTCAGGTCGACTGGTTTCCAGGTTGTAGTGACGGGTTCAGGTGTGGTGAATGTCCAGCAATGAGTACTTCCCGTCCTCGATCGCGCAAATAATTTCTCGCTTAAAGATTCCATCAACGTTCGGCTGTGCTAGCGCGGAGCGCCGATTTCGACGAGCGCAAGTCGCAAATATGTTTTCTCATTAATTCGCTCTGGACTCATTAGCCAGCGGGACGGTTATCGAAGGACGAATAAAAGGCCAAAACGAAAGCACAAACTTGTCCCTTTTATAGCTCCGGTAGGAAGCCCCTTCTTGGATCATTGGGAATCAATGAACTTCGAATGGACAGTCGGTCGGAACCGGTTCCCGACCGGATGACGGAGATGAGAACTCGAAGTGACACCTCGCTCTATGATGAGGTTGCCGGCACTCGTGCGGTATTCTCTTCATCGGTGCGATCGGCGTCGATAGCGCGGGCAATCGTATCCCGATGATCTCGCGAGCATATTTGAAGATTTATTTCAAAAACCGAGCTATTCATCCGTTTGATACATAATTTGTTGCAGCACGATATTAATAATTTTCAATAATGTTTAGAAAATTGTAAGAAATCATTTAAAACAATATCTTGCCAAAAGCAAATCGAACAACAATAAAAATTTTCATAAACACAATTGGCATAAAATTTAGAGTTTAAAATAATATTTAATAAGTTAGAAAATATATATTGTTTAAGAATTATTTCACTGTATAGAAAAAACTTTCCGATAATAACTTTTTAACGAAATCTTCGTATATTATATAATTCTTTTAACAAATTATCGTCAATGTATCTCT